CCTTGCCTCCAAAGGCACTCTTGATAACAGCTAAAAGTCCAGACCCTTGTTTTACAGTCCCCTCTTTTTATTTTACAATCTCTATTTTATTGAGTTTTTCTTTAATTATGTTACCTTGGTGTATGTCTAAGAAAATCACTCAAGATAGAAAATGTATTAGTATTTTGAGCATATTATCTGAATTTGAAATGCAAAAGCTTTCAGTGAAATATATGAGATATGTGCAATGTATTTTAAATGGCTGTCTACTCCTTTTCTTCTCTCAAAATGCTTGTCTAAGGAAGGAGTACCATATGGGCAGAAATAGAAACACTCTCAGATTATAAAAAAGTGACTCCTCATAACCAATATAAAATTGTGAGCCATGGTACAATCAATTGTTTTTCCATTTTGCAGGAGGCACCACATAACGACAATAATTTAAAGGTATTCAGTACTTACAAGTACTTTGACATGTTATCAGAATTGCTCACCCCACTAGTCTGACTGATAAAAAGAAAAGTAAATTTTATTCCAATCCAATGGATGAGGAAATGAAATCTCGAGAGGTTAAGTGACTTGCTCAGAGACACACAGATCATAATAGCTGAGCTGGGGCTCAGACAGTTTTTTTGACTCCAAGTCCAGCACTTTTCCCACTGTGTCACACTGCCCAGGAGAAGGACAGAAACTTTTCTGAAAACTTGAGGCAGGGAACTATACAAACCCATAGGAAATTATAATAATAATAATCTACCAAGTGCTAAGTATGTGCCTGCTTGTTCAACGTGTAGTGAGCATCTCTTGCATCCAGCCGTGTTCTGGCTGCGAGAGCTGTAACAGCGACCAGAATGAGAAGGAAGTTCCCCTTGCCCTCACAGAGCTTGTTGCAGGTCAGGGTTTCTCAAAGTGAGCACTATTGATATGTTGGGTGGATGGTTCTTTGGGGGTAACACACAGGCACTCTCCTGTGCGCCATTGCTTCTACCTACCAAGATGCCAGTAGCACCCCACTCCCAGCTATGACAATCCCAAAATGTTTCCAGGCATTGCCAAATATCCTGTGGTTGAGAATTGCTATTCTAGATGAAAGAGGAGGTCAGTAAAAAATGAAATTAAAAAAAACCTTTGGGGCTGCTCTCTTGTCACCTGGCGACCCTTCTTCCTTTAAGGCTCAGCACTACTGTCATCTCCTTGCACATCTTAGGCAGTCCCAGCCACAGCCTCTCATCCCCAATGCTCCTCTGTCCCCGGCTCAGGCACCCACCACATGGCATCACCGTCATCTCCCCAGAGGCTAAGCAGCAATGGCGCAGGGGAGAGACATGAAGGACACGGGTCTGGAAGAGTGGCTGGGGCCAGTCAGAAGCAACCTTCCCCTGGGGAACTGGAATTGAGTCCGTGGGCAGGAGGAAGCAAGTGTGTTTTTTGTTTTGGGGGGTTTCTTTTGGGGAGGGAGTGTGGTTTTGGGGGAAATTTTTTAGCAGGAAAGAGACAGGATCAGATTTGAGTTTTAGCGAACCAGTTGCCAAAACGCCGGGGGATGGGAGGTAGTGGGGACAGTTAGGGCACTGTTCTGGCAATCCTTATGGGAAGTTGGTGAGGATCCTCTGATCCAGTGTGGTGGAGAGGATGAGTTGGACTGAGCAGGTCTATATAAAGAAGGGTAAGCAAGAGATGGTGACCCCAGGCTCCCTCCCCTTTTCTGCCTCTGCATTCAGGAATCTGAAATGGGTAGCATCTCAGATACCTATTAGGAGGCATGCATGGAATACCCCCCAAAATGCAGAGGCTGCTGCACGGATGGGCACTTCCCTTTCTGCCCATGATTCCCGGATCTCTACAACTTCCCACCTGGTCCTTATTTTTTTCTTTGAAACTATACGGTGTTAGACCAACATGATTTTTAAACAGCCACTGTATCTCCACCAGATCTCTTCTTTTCCGGGTTAGGTACCACCAGCTTCCGACCCCTCACCAGCTTGCTCATCTCCAGTTGGTCCCCAACACTTGGGGCTGCACGTGACACAGCAGATATGGCCTGGCTGGGGAGGAAGGCAGGGCTGACAGCTACGTTCTATAGTAAATAGAATGCTACAACCACAGGATTGCAGAGTCGGCAGCTCTAAGGGCCCAGCCCTCCACAGAAACATGAAAAAAAGATGAGCAAAAACTGTCAGAATCAACTTTGTTGGGACTCTGGAAAATAGTCAAAGATTTACAGCAAGCAAGTGAATGTTGAATAAAGAAAAGGGTGACTTAGGGCTGGCGCGTTGATTAAGAGCTGGCTTGGGAAGCCAGCTCTGAGCAGCAGGCTCCTGGTTCGGATCCCACATAAGGGCCAGTGATGCTGCGCCCTCTACAGCTAAGATGGTGAACAACAGCTCCACCTGGAGCTGGGCTGCCGTGAGTCACCGGCTATGGCGTGGGCTGCAGTGGGGCTGCAGTGGGCTGCCATAAAGCTACCATGAGTGGCTGGCAGCCGCTGTGAGCAGCCGTCCAGGGCCGACAACTGATTGCCTCACCCGGGAACAGCTCAATGATCACAATACCAACATGGGCCAGTGAAGCCACGTCCTCCACAACTAGACTGAAGAACAAATGGACAGCAACTTGTCTGTTCCCCTCCCCAAATTCCCCAATAAAATCTTTTAAAATAAGAAAAGGGTGACTTAGTGTTGAAGGAAATCTCTGTGAAACCACAAGCTGACCACATGCTAAAAGACCAGAGACTTCCAAGAACACACACAGCAAAGAATACACAGTCTTTAAGCAGATGCCTCCTAACGCTGGCTTTGTTGGAAGGTTGGCCAACAGTATTTGCTACTGTTCGATTAGCGGTCACCTCTGCCCTTTCCAAATAGTTTAATGATAAACTAGGGCTCCCAAACTCATGCGCCTCAGTCCATTTTTTGAGTCTAAGTGCTAGACATTATACAAATCCTATTTTATTCCATTTTATTTATGTAAGCCCCAAAGCTGCTGTCTTTAAAACTCTTGAAATTTTTATTTTATATTCCAGCTCATAAACTATCCCTCCCAGATTTGTGTTTCCTGTAATTTCTAAGGCATCCCACCTTCCTTAAAGTTATTGACTACAAAGTATCATTAGGACTGGATTGGCACAGAGTCCCAGAGACATCACTAGAGGCCCCCATTCAAATAACCCTCGTTCTGTGGGTACATCTCTCCATCAACTACAACCCACACAAATGTCTAACACCCCAAAAAAGGTTGTACTCAGAAAAGAAAACTAGTTTATTTTGGCTCAGCTTATCTGTTTAAAATCTACTCTAGAATTTTGACCACACTTGAAGGGTTTTTAGTGTCCTAAACCTCTCTCTTTCTCCTTTTAAAAAATGGAGCTAACACTCGTGTCTCTCCAGTCCTCCTGACCCTCTTTCCTAAGAGAGCCACTACTTGCTGAAAGAGGTCCTGTCTCCAGGCTGAAGCAGGATTGCACTCTGGCGTATTAAAGGAGCTGCAGCTGTGAGCGCAGAAGCACTTCCCCTGGTGGTGAAGAAAGCACAGAGGAGTGAAAGATTCCTTCTAGCTGAAGGAATAAGTCACCCTCCTCCAGGGAGAAAGGAGAAAGCCAAGTCGGGGTAAGACACCCATCCCTCATCAGTGTGCCCCGGTCATGCCTGTGCCTCAAAACCCTGCTCACTCACCACCTGCTCACTCCTTTCTCCAGCCAAAAGGGATCTTTCACTATTTAAAGAACTTCCATAGCACTTGCTCTGTGTTTATATTGGAGCACATTTAACTCTCTACCTTGTGTTCAGGCTCGGTTCACATTTAAAGGTGATGACTGCATGGAGAGTACTGGGCTCAAATCATACTCTGCCACTTACCGGTTCTTAGTTTCTTCATATCTAAAATGGGAATAACATTAGTACCTGACTCACAGAATTACTATAGGATTAAATGAGATAATGCTCGTAAGCATAGTGCTTGGCATTTAGAACTTATCTCTTTTCTTATAAGCTCAGTGTGGCACAACCAGAAACCAATCCAACCACTTTGAATAGATATGATAGCTGGAGCTGGGGCAGCCATTTTGCAGCCATGAAGCAACAGGCATGAGGATAAGACCAAAAGAATTACAGTCAAGAGTTATCACTAAAGCCCTGAACCAAAGCCACAGCTTAGTATTATGTGAAAAAAAAATCTATTTGAAAAAGGCACGAAGCCAGTTTTTCAGTTACTTGCAATTGCCCCTTTTAACCAGCCTGCCCTAACTCAAGCCACTAACTAGATACAATTTGTTTTAAGTTGCATCTCCATTTAAGAAAGAAAATCAGAAGTTTGTGGTGCATATGTGGGAGTAGATATGTCGTGTGTGTGTGTGTGTGTGTGTGTGTGTGTGTGTGTGTGTGTGTACTCAGGTGCCTACATGAAAGTTCAAGCTGTTTGTTCACAAGCCAATTCTACGTCTCATTATTGGGCGAATCACCAGGAGTTTTCTCCCTTGGGCATATAAAGGTAGCAGGCAGCAGGTGTTTCTGGCAGCATAGCTATGCGGTTGGGGGCCTCAGCTACATTTCCCTTCCACACAATCCTTTCCTAAGCTGCAAGGAGTCTCCTCGCTGACTGAAGGAGAGGCCACAGCAAAGTCCAGCATTGCAGGTGTGAGCCCCACAGTGTCAAGATGCCCAGGGACACCTTAAGACGGGAAAGGAACACCCAGGTACAGGACAGTTGGTGAGGGAGGGAGCCAGGAAATACTCAAAGGTTAGATCTGTAATTTGAAGCAGGATCAAAAGCCCGGGGAGTGGGTGGCTCTCGCTCTCGCCTTCCCTAGGCCCTGGGGACATACAAGCACAGTTGGAAAAACTCCAGGGTTCCCTCAGAACCCAGGGACCCAACCAGCACAGTGGAGGGGAGGGGTGTGGCGGTGCGGCCTCAGGGGAAAGACATGGCTGGCTCTCAGGTTGCCATGTGTGGGTGGGAGCTGCACACTCTGGCAGGTGGACAAGGCAGGGAAGAGACAGGGAGATGAGAGGGGGAGGCTCCTGTCCTGAGATAGCAGGACCCGGCTCCCCCCAACACATCTGCCCACCCCCTTCCCTCAGCAAGCAGCTTCAGCGTGGGTGGGTGGGTCGCCTGGGCTGGCAGGGGCTCTGTCTGCACAGGTGGTCGCCCTGAGGCAGACAAATGCAAGAAGCTGCCAACATCCTCCCCTCACCATCCCAGCACCCGGGGTTCAAAAGCTTCTGGATTTTTCTCCCTGGGATGGAAAAGCAGTCTTGCACCATGCTCAGTTACACAAGAGAGGGCGATGTAAGTAAGGGTTTGCTCACCGGGAGGACAGTGCGAATTCGGGCCAGACCGCCAGGTATAGTGCCTTGCTTTCTCCAAGCCTTAGTTGTCTCATCTGCAAATGAGTCAAATACTTCCAGCTGAGTGGGGGGCAGCAGTGGGGGTGTCAGGGTGCTGGAAACCTTTTGTTTTTATCTGGTTAGTGATTATCTGGGTGCATACATATGTAATAATTTATCCAGCACTACATACAAGATTGTGGCACTTCTTGTGTAAATAAGAGAGACTTAGAAATAAGTAGGAGAGCCCATCTCCAGTGTGGTCTGGTTTAAGGGGCCCAGGGCATGTCTGCTCCCCAGATGCATTCATTCAACTCCATGCCCCCATCATTGATACTGGAAATTTTACTGTTACAAATGAACATCTTTGGCTGAAAGCTGTCTTCAGTTGTTACAGTAGGAAAAGTAACTTTTTCCTTATCCCACCTGCACCTCAGAGGAGAGATGGTCAGGGGTGAAGAGGGACAACTGAAAATACTTTCCCCACATTATAACTTTGCCCACAACAGACTGTGTGTGAAGAGCTTTGCTCCTCCCTCCAGGAGACAGGAAGGAACAGATCAAGAAGAAGCAAGCGCCACTGCCTGGCCCCCAACAAGCCAGGACCCCAGGAACTGGAGGACCTAGGGAGGCCCTGGAGGTGAGAGGACGACAGAAGGGCTGGGGTTTGGGGGTTCTAATGAGGGAGGGGGCAGGCTCAGGGACAGCCACATGGCCACTTGCCCCTATTGATGCTGTGGTTATACATGGAGCTCCACTTTGAGCCACTATCTGTTTGAATAACCAAAGGAAAACAAGTCCACCGGCTCACCAAACCTTAAACTGCAGATTCCAAAGGGAACTCAGTTGCCCATATTTTGAGAATGTGGGTTAAGTACTTTTTATGCCCCAAATTCTATTCCCCCATATACAGGAGTAGTATCCTTACTGGATAATTCATAATATCCAAAGTTAGTATGAACTGAGGAATATTTAAAATTTTTTGCATTTATCAGCCATGATAGTATCTACTTGTGTTTGAAAAATCGTTCTGTGTACGTCTGTGAAGCAAATACCTTCAGTCTGCAGCTAATGCCGGTGGCCCAGGGCTATAGATGAAGTCAACAAAAGAGCTAATGCAAGCCTGACACAGCTCAGAAAGATGACTTTGAGGGAGGGAAACCCAGCAACGATCTCTGATGTATCGCAAATCCTCCCTGTGCTGAACGAGCCACTTGGCTTTCTCTTAGCACATATAGAGGGTGCCAAGAAAATGTATGCACATTTTAAGAAAGGAAAACTGTGTTAAAATTGTAATACTCAATATATACCGATAACAAAAGATGAATAGAAGTCACGTTTGACTTCTGCAATTACAAGAGGTGCCCAAAGTGGTTACCATCAGCATCCAGACATTTCTTAATATGGCGAACTACTGCTTGAGCAACTGCTTATGCAACGTTGACCAAAGTGTTAACATCTCTTAAAATGTTTATACATTTTTTTTGCGCACGCACACACACACACACACACACACACGAAGTTCAGACAATTTAGTTTGTGAACTTAATTTCATGTGTGTGTATTAAATATACACCTATATGTAGCAACTGTTATTTGGGCAGGGGATAGTTTTCTTTATACCTAGTTCTTCCTAGAAATAAATGGAGCAAGTTTGAAGAGCTGTGTTATTGGAAGGACATCCTAGGACCAAAAAATATTGACTTCCCTAGGGTGCAGGGGCTATGAATGATCTGTCTTATTCTACCTTCTTGGCTTTTTCTAAATTTTCTATAACGAGCATGTGAATTAACTATAGATGCATATATTATGTTTATAATTGGACCTTTAATCTCAGAGAAATTCATAAAATTTGAGAAAGTTGTTAAAGGCCCCAAAGTGAAACCATCATATAGCGACGCATGGGGGAAACTGAGGCCCAGAGTGGCAGACGGATCATCCTGGGACGGGGGTCTTGTCTTTGGTCTCCGCATGTTTGTTCAGTAAAGCCAGATCTGGGAGAGCAGCTTCCACTCAGGACACAAGTCCAACTCGCCCACTTCCTGACACTGACGCTAATTTTACTAGATCTTTATAACTTAGAAAATCACAAGGTTCTCAAAGGGCTAAAGGGAGAGGCAAGCAAGGTGAAAGCAAGGCTCATCCAAGTACAGGCTGGGAGGTGGAGAGCAGAGAGCAGTGATGTCTGTCCCAATTCTCTCCTGCCAGAGCTCCCCATTTGGTAAACTGAGGAAGCAGTGGCATCTGGAAGCTGAGTTGACATTTGGTTCATTTTTTTGTTTATTCCAAAGGCACATTCACGTACCATGTAACCAATCCAATGTGGAACTAGACAAATGGCTCCAGGAGAGTGGACAAGGAGGCAGGTATATTCAGTTACCAGAAGCTCTGTTCCTTGTTTCTTCATTCTCAACCGTCTAAAGACATGTATTAAATTCTCTATTTTTAATCAGCTGTAACTGCAAAGTAGTCTAAGGATTTACTCAATGTGACTCAGGAAGACATGTCATTGAAATGTTTACCCCCAGGGTGGAAATGGGGCTCTCATTCAATGAGGTAGAGTAAATCTGGGAAGGCAGCTTCTGGGTGCCCGAGGGACCCACATCAGTCCTGACGGCCAAGGACAGATAATGACCTTACTCAGGCTTGTGGGGCATGCTACCCATGTCCCCTGACCCTCTGAGGCACTGTGGCTTTTGTCCAGGCACCCCTCCCCGTCTCTATATTGTGGGGCTTGAAGTCATAACTGCATTTCCCAGGGTTCTGGGTGCTGTGCAGGTTCTGCCAACAAAACACACAGCCAGCAGGTGTGGGTGGTACCAGGGACAGGGGCCCTCACCCTGCATCTGGGTGGCTGACAAGCAAGCCCAGCAGACAAGTTGTTTTCAGTGCCGGGTCTCACATCCCAGCGCCAGGAGACATGTGATGATGGCGGTGGTTGCCAGGAGTGTGCAGCTGCCTGAGCCCTGGAGAACGGCCCTGAAGTCTGACCTTGACACTAATCACTAGGGGAAGGGGGAGGGGGGAGGAACTTCCTTGTCCCTGGGCCATCTGGTGATTTTGAGGGCTCCTAATTCTTTGGAACAGTACAGTGGCTTGTGCTTCCTGAACTACATCTTTAATGAAACCTGCTCACATGTCCAAGCTGTGGATGGGGGTCCTCTAACTCCCTTTCCATGTTTCAGACCAATGAGGGTCTGAATATCCTGCATTGTCCATCTCCCACTTTCTCCTCTCCCTCTGCCTGCCACCAGGTGCCCTGCACCTCTGGCTGCTCACAGGACTCTCATGTTCTGCCCCTCCTCCACCTTCTGGTGGTGAGGGCAGCTTTCTGCCTCCCACTGAACTGTACCCACTGCGCTTACAGAGGAAGCGAACATGACCCTGAATGAGACCGCGCTTTCTCTGGCTCTGCCCCACCTGACTGCCCGCCACTGACTTCCTGAGAGGTCACCCTTCCACCCCCACTCCCTGGAGCCCTGCTTTAGAGACCAGCTCTGTTTTCTCTTTCCCTCCACCCCAATCAATTCCACCCTTCTGAGTCTCTGGAGGCCCAAAGTACTTATCAGAATTACCCAGTCTGTGAAAATGGTCATTTCCAAATCCTGATAGGACGTCCCCTGTTCTGACAGGTCAGTGCCCTGTGGAATCCTGATGCAGCCCCCACCCCCTAGCAAGAATTGTTGCTCTTTAATGGTTTAATGGTTTAATGAGCCGCATCACTAAAAGGGTAAGATAAGTACAGAGTAATGGAGGACCTGGGCGAGAGCAGGGCAGAGATAACTGGCTTGGAATGAAATCATTGAATGAGCGCCACATTTATGCAAACATCTCAGGCCAGCTGCCTAATCTCTTTGCCCTCCAAGGGCCTATAAATAGCTCAGGAAAAGAGAGCTGAGGCCATGACATGGAGCTTCCCAGATGCCACCTTCCCTAGGGTCTGTGTGGCACCATTCAGGGGGTAAACTCACTGCCCTGTAGAGGGGGTCGCTCAAGGGAGGACCAGCCAGCAGTGTGCCTCATCAGAAACCACAATAAAAATGTGGGTTTTTTTAAAAATGCTGCTTCACATCTGATGCTTCCAGTCCTGTTGCAATTGTCTGTGAAGCAGGCACCCTCTTCACACTGTGGCTAAGTGGCCAAAAGATAAATGGGTCATTTATCACACAGAGTAAGAAGAGGCAGGCGATGAAAGCTACTCAGCCTCCAGAATGCAGATGGGGTTCTTTGTGGCAGAGTCCCTGCACCCACACCCCCACCTGCCAGGGACAGTGCAAGCTGTGGACTGGATGGGTGCATGGCCTCTGCCGCTGGCACACAGGCAAGCTGTGGCTTCCTGGCACTGGCTGGCCTAGTGACCCTCAAACCTGCAGGGCCCCATGGCATCTCTAGTTTAAGTTTGGGCAGAAATTTCTCCTCCAGCCATGGCACAGCTCCTCTGCAGCTGCACAGGCCTCTCCTTGTTATACAAGCACTTAATGAGTGACTACTGAAGTAGATCATTATCATCTTCCTTGAAAAGCTTTAAAAGCCTAGAGTGATGCTGGAGCCATACAAGAATGCAACCAGACAGACCCACACAGGAAAGCACATACCCAGGATGCAGTAACAGTCGGAGGCCAGCACTGAGAGAAGCAGTGTCTATTCTCCATTTCTAGTTGGAGCTGAGGAGGAATTGAGGTGAATGGTTCACTATCGAGAACCAAGCTGCTAAGCTGTCTGCTGCTTAGAAAGTGAAGACAGTTAAGGACACTCGGAAAGGACAAAGGGTGGAAGTTTTTATTTCATCTTAAACTTCTCTTGTGGTTGACTAGCCACTGAACAGCCCAAGGTCCACGGATGAAAGTGACTCTACCACACAGTTCAGTGAGAGAGACACCCTATAGGAATCTAAAGATGGCTTTGCCCTTCACCTCCATCATCCACTCGCTGTTCTCAGGTACATAGAATTTATTAGATGGCGATTATCCTACTGTAAATGTCAAAGTCAAGGACAGAACTGTCATTCATCACTAAGACCTATTAGAAATAGTTTGAGATATCATATTGTCATTTACGTCACTGAAAATATGAAAATCCAGTTCTCCTTACATAATTTATACAGCACCATAGATCAATTTAAAAATGCGCTGACCTTTTTCTTAAAAAATAAATGACTCTGGTTTAAAGTATTAAAATGGTAGATTTATGAGGGACACTGAAGATTGATTTAAGAGGACTAATCAGATCTTATCATGAAAATGATGTTCTCTCAAATGAACATTGTAGGAACAGAAACCGACATCTGCAAGTCTTGCCTGAAACTTTTAGTATTCAAAAAGTCATTTCAAAAGATAGCTGGGTAATATCAAAGATGCATGAGCAAATGTTTGATTTCTAATCAAAGATGAGAAATAGATTAAACCCAAGAGACTGAAAGACAGGAACACAGCAATTTTTTCTCTCCTTTTCAGACTCTTCTCTCCTGCAAACAACTTTCAGGGGTAACACTGAGCTCTGTTAACCATGTATATCCTGCCTGTGAGCCTTTCCTTTGGACTTAAGAGGGCCACACTAGTGTTTCTTGTGCATATTCACTCATTTTATCCAAGGGATATTTTATGAGCATCTACTGGGTGCCAGCTACCACACTCAGCATGGTAGAGGGGTACAGGAGACCAGTGTTGAACAAGAACTTTGCTTTCACAGAGCTTAGGGACCCAAAGAACAAATTACTCTGAGAACCTATTATCTTTACAATACTGTACTTAAAGAAGAAGCTTAAACTCTCACAAAGCCAGCTTATAATTTAATAGGAAACAGTACAGATCTGTTAGCCTGGCTACAGAGTTGGTATAGAAGCCAATCCATCATCAACAAATGTTACCCATCAGGAGGATGCTTTGGGCTCTGCTTGTGGGGTGGGAAAAAGAAATATAAAGATTAGAAGGCAAGGCCCCAGTTTCAAGGAGTATACAATTAAGTAAATTGTGAGAGACACCATCAGAACTAAATAAGCATAACAGATAATACTACAGCTGTCACAAGGATTCATGAAAAGGCACAAAGAAACACACTAGGAGGATACTTAAGAAAATGAAAAGGCAAGACACAAACTGGAAGATAATATCAGCTACATATATATCTAAAAAACAACAAAAGAACTTGACAAAAAACTGTCCTCATTTCAATAAGAAGGTAAGCAACTGGGTATTGACTTATTGTGGTGAATATTTCACAATGTATATAAAATATTGAATTATTATGTTGTACACCCAAAACTAATATAATGTTATATGTCAGTTACACCTCAATGAAAGATAAAATTTATCCTCTGAAAATAAAGTAGGCAACCCAGTTCTTAAAAATGGGCAAAAGACTTGAATAGATGCTTCACAAAAGAAAATGCATGAATGCCTAATAAGCACATGAAAAGATGCTCAGTATTATTAATCATTATGGAAATGCAAATTAAAACTACCATGAGGGCCGGCCGAGTGGCTCAGTTGGTTAAGAGCTCGCTCAAGAGTTTGAGCTCTGAGCAACAGCGGTTCGAGTCCAGCCCGAGCTGAGCAGCCGCTGAGCTGCCAACAGGTAGCAGGATGGCTCAGCTAAAAAAAAAAAAAAAACCTACCATGAGATGCCACTTCACACTCATTAACATGGCTAATATTAAAAAGACTGACTATAGCAAGTGTCATAGATTTCTAGGGAAAATGCAAAATGATACAGCACTTTGAAAAATATTTCGGCAGTACTATATTCAATCAAACATGTATCTACCCTATGAACCAGCAATTATTCTCCTATTTATTCAATAGAAGTGAAAACATCTGTTCACTCAAAGACTAATACAAGAATGTTCGTAGCAGCTTTGTTCATAATAGCAAAAACCTGGAAATAACCCAGGGGTCAATCAACAGGTGAATGAACAAACAAATTTGGACATATATATACTCGTACAACAGAATACTACTTAGCAATAACAAGAACTATTGAAACACAAAACAACATGGATAACCTCAAGAATACCTATTGTATATCCCTTGTGTGACATTCTAGAATAGGCAAAACTAATCTCTGGTATAGAAACTGGAGCAGTGGGTGCCTCCAGGGCTTGGGGAGAGCCTGGGAATGGGCAGGACAGAGAGCACTGGGTGATGGGAGCGTTCCATGTCTTGACTGGAGTGGAGGTTGCACAGGTGTATATATTTGTCCAAACTCGTAACTGAACTCTTAAGATCTACGTATTTTATTTTATATAAGTTGTACTTCAGTTCAAAAAAAAAGAAAAAAAGAAAGATGTTAGGAAGCGAGTAGGCAAATCTGTCTAGGAGCCTGGGATCCCCTGGGGAGAGGAGGAATGGGTCCCCCTTCCTTTTGAAGTTCAACTTGAG